GCCGCCGAATGCCAACTGAAGGGCCCCCCTCTGCTGAAATGCCGCCGAAGACCCGGACCGCCGCTGGGTAAGTAAAAAGGCGCCTCTAGCCAGGAAAGGGATTCTCGGCCAGGGCTTGCGGGGCCCCTGCGGGGCCAGGGGCAAATTGCCCCACTTGCCCCCCCCTCTGGGCGGCCCTGGTATACTGCCAGACTTAGTGCTAGATACTGAATGCTTTTGTTTATCCATAGACTAGCTATAGCACTGGCAGTTGCAATATAGGCTTCTCCACCTTTCCCAATCATGACACACAGAGGCCACTTGTAGGTGTGAGGGGATAGTTCCCATGTCCATTTATTTCTTGGCCTATCTGCTGAAATTACCAGTAAGGTTCCCACTTGTGGGATTGAATGCTTATTCATAGAGACCGATAAATGTAGCAATAATTAAAACTAATATTCTGGTCTTTATTACTCAATAATCTCTGCTCTGCTTCAGCTTGAGAAATAAATACCTGTAATTCTAGGGACACTTTGTGTCTAACTAATGTAAATAGATGTTTTAAATGGCCCAATCCTTTAAGCCCTTTGCACATACAATTCACCCTGACTTCAGTGGGTGCTCTATGAACTTGCAGGATCCTGCCCTGTCAGGGTTCCCTCCCCACTCTGAACTTTAGGGTACAGACATGGGGACCTGCATGAAGACCCCCTAAACTTATTTCTACCAATTTAGGTTAAGAACTCCCTATTCCTTGGATTAAGTAACGCTGCCACCACCAAGTGATTTAAACAAACATTTAGGGAGGGCCACTTGGAGCCCTACCTTCCCCAAATACCCCCCCTGAGTCCCACACCCCTTTTCCTGGGCAGGCTTGAGAATAATCCCCCAAACCCCTACACCCCTTTTCCTGGGGAGGCTTGAGAATAATATCCTCACAAATTGGTACAGGTGAACACAGACCGAAACCCTTGGATCTTAAAACGATGAAAAATCAATCAGGTTCTTAAAAGAAGAATTTTAATTAAAGAAAAGGTAAAAGAATTACCTCTGTAAAATCGGGATGGTAAGTACTTTACAGGATAACAAAAGACTCAAGAACATAGAGGATCTCCCCTCTAGGCAAAACATTAAAGTTACAAATAAACCTCCCTCTAGACAAAACCTCCCTCTAGACAAGGAAAATCACAAGCCAAAATAAAAGTAAGCTAACGCATTCCCTTATTATTACTTACTAATTCTAATTGAGTTGGATTGCTTGCCTTCTTGATCTGTCTCCAGCAAGCACACAGAACAGACAGACAAAACAAAGCTTTTTCCCCCTTTCCAGATTTGAAAGTATCTGGTCCCCTTATTCGTCCTTTTAGTCAGGTGCCAGCTAGGTTACCTGAGCTTCTTAACCCTTTACAGGTAAAAGGATTTTGTGCCTCTGGCCAGGAGGGATTTTATAGTACTGTATACAGAAAGGTGGTTACCCTTCCCTTTATATTTATGACATGCCCACATTTTGGTTTAATGGGATCCAAGAGTGTGCCTTACTGGTCTCAGCATGTATTTGTTAGCAATAAACTGTTCTTTTTCAGGGCAGAAACTCTAATTCCATTAACATGGTTGCTTAATTTTATGGATGAGCAGAGGAATTAGAAAAATTTCAGACATGCATGAATTTAGAAGAGAAAGTAGTTCTTGCCTGCATTTTTTGAGGCTCTGTTGGTTATGGTAATTTGGTGTGGGTTGAGAATTAAGCTAACAAGAGCACTCTTCTTGAATTTGTAGAGGTCCATTTGCCAAGCATTTGGTGTCAGTGACCATGTATATAATGAATGATATACACTAAATATTTTGCCTATATAGTCTCCTTTGATAATGTAAACAGGAAAGAAAAAGCTAGCTGAAACTGACCAGGCTCACGTAAGTGTTGGGAGCAGTGGCTTTAGACCATGTTGCCCTCTTTCTGCAGACCCCATAAAAACCCTTCTCCTCCCACTCCACAGGGTTGAGGCTTTGCTACTATTGAGGAGTCAGGAAGAGGTGGAGCTAGGTGACAGTAACTGTCTGTGGTATCTTCCTCAATTCCCACACCTACCCCACACCCTGCAAACATTCAGGCATTTACTGCTGAAGTTAATGCTGAACCTGTTCCTGCATGTGTTGTGAACTCCCTTTCCTCAGACGGGGGCTCTCGATCAACCACCAGCAGAAAACCATGGCTGCTCTAAAGCTGTGCTCCTGTATGGAGAGAGAGATTCTAGGGCAGTAGTCCAGGCAGAAGCACTGGGTGTCCATGCTAAGATCCTCGTGCTCTTCAGTCTTTCACACAGAAATCCTGTCTACCTTGGGGGACACACAGAAATATGGGTCTCAGGCACTGCCTGATCTATAGGAGTGGGGAGAGGTTTTAAAGCTCATCTGCTGATGCATGGATATTATAGAAATTCCAAGAGTTGTAACTCACAGAATTTCATGGTCCATATGCTGGTTTTCCCTGCCATAGCTTATAATTTGACTCTAAAAGAGCAATGACACGTTTCTGTATCTCCGATGATTTTCTTAATGGGCCTGGTCCTGCAGTCCTAATGTAGGCAACACACACACTGACTTCAGTGGGTATTTTTCTTGCCTAAAGACTGCAGGCTCAGCCCCTATCAATAAATGAATAAAATGTTTAATACATTTCAGCAATAGGAAGAGAAACAATGGGTCTTTGGGGTATATAGAGAAACTGAGATCCAAAAAATGACATTGCCCTACATGATGGTGGGGGCTGAGAATTTTATGAATGCAACCTAAATTATTAAGTTTCATATACTTCCTAGCAAAAATACAGGCAGAAAGCATCCAAAGCACTAGTCTTAGAATTATGTCTTGTGAGAGAGCATAAGGAAACTGATTATGGAAAAATTAAATTATGAGAGAAATCAGGAAAACAGAAGATTACTTTTAAACATTTTAGTCCCCAAACTATTTATTAGCATACATAAAGCATTATCTGAATCATTTGTGATCCCTCCCATGTTAAGCTCAGAGTCTAGCACCAAAAACAAGAAGTTGATTGCTTGTGTTTTCAAGTAGACTAATAGAATGGACACCCAAACCAAGAGTCTACTGGGAAAAGCAGTAAACTTGGCAACTCTGAAACACATTCCTAGCTTGAGTCAATGTTGCCTGTTCTTATGAGAATTTTTAAGTTCCCTCAAAGATTATATTTGTTATTTTTGCCTATTATGTGCTTTCAGGCTGGAGGAGATAATTAAAACGTTTCTGGAAGATCCTGATCCTGAGAGCATGCTGGATGTTGGAGCTGATATGCGCAAGATCAAGCACTGTTTCAATTACATAAAGGTATATTCTGTACATATACAAGGAAGTGCAGAGAGCCCTAAGAATGAACTAGAAATATTAGAGGACACAGGGGAGAGAGAGCTGAAAAGCAACCATGAAGCTATGGAGAAGAAGGGAGTGTATACAGGCCGAGAAATGCTTGAAGAATTGGAATGGTTTGGAATAATAACCGGAAAATATGCAGCAAGAATCTGAAGGAGCTAAAAGGAATAACCAAAGGGTATTAGAGGAGGAGCGAGTGATAGAGAGGACTGGAATTTACAGGAATTGCTGTGCTGAAGTAATCTGTAAATGGATAGAGAGTATATCCAAGTATATATGCAGCTAATAAGGAGCTTTACGTTAGACTAGTTACTCCCAGGAAGATATCAGAAAAGAGGGTTTGTGTCACTGAACCAGCTGCATCAACTGTTCTGGTTATATGCTATGCTGGGATATACTGCACACAAGATATATACAGGGTGAGGAGTAGCAAGGGAATAAATTGAACATGGGGTATATTTTTTGGTTTTGTTTATGCTCTGCTATAAAAGCTTCCGCAATTTTCTGATACAGTAAAGTATAAAACGCTGTCCCTGAATTTGATATCTAGATGACGAGGAATTAATACCCAGTTGATGTTGCTTTTTTCCTTACTACAGTGGGAGTTCCATACCAGAGAAAGATGTGTAAGGCTTAGATATTTTTATTGAGGAAAACTGATCAGTGGAAATCAGGAGATATCTCATAGTTAACTCAGTACTTATTGCTTTGCAGTCTACCAGTGGTGGGATTTTGCTTTTCAGAAATCCTGAAATCTCAAATCCGCTAGCATAGGTAAACAGTCACGCAGGGATAGGGAGAAATGAATCGGATGAGGATAGAGTGACAAGAACCCAGAACTCTTTTTATTTTATTTCATAGCAACTGATAAATCGTACAAACATTCCTGACAGACATCTGCTGTCCCCAGACATCACTGGAGGTGAAGATACTAATACCCCAGAGAAGAAAGAGGAGTTAAAGAAGTTGAGAGACCTTCTGCACCAAAGAGATAATGAAATCAGTATCCTTTATGAAACAGGATTTATTTGGATTTAAACTAATCTGGCTGCAATCTGAGTTGTGGGTGTGTATGAAATGGGAGATGGTGATCTGCAAAGAATTTCTTCCCTTTCAGATTGATGTATCAATCCACATTCTTAATCTAAGAGTCTCCTACCACTCTTTATCAGAATCCCATTGTTGCACTTGGTCCCTGTTTCTGTTATGAACGGAACCAAAATCCTGGATCCAAATACGCTGGGGTTTTGGGAAATTCTGATCCAGATCCAAAAGTTGTGGTTCAGGCTCATGTCTAGTAAACTCTCTTCCAGAAAATGATAAACTGGGTCTAGCATAGAAAACTGTGATGCTATATAAAGAACAATTTATTACCTTACAAAGAATAGAATTTCCTGTATTGTTATTTTTAGCCAAATGAAATGCTGCTTCAGGGACTACTGGACTCTCTTCTTTTAGATTAAATGTAAAATGTGTGCTTTCTACATCCAACTTTAACATTTAAACTAAAGCTGAGCCTTTATATTGTATAACAAAAATTAAACTACTCATATGTGCTGTGTCCACTTTACTGCCTCATGGGAAACATATGAGTTGCTGTAGCTTAGCAAAATGAAGAAAGGGCAGTTATTTTTAGCTGGCTGATAAAACTGCAGGCAGACCACAGCGTCACCATGTCCCTGAGTTTGTGGCTGATCTGTGGACAAAACTTGAACAATGGCAGAAAATTGACAAATAGCTTTCAAGTTTATAGCAAGCAGAGATTCTTTAGCATTATTAAAAACAAGATTAACTGCATTCTTTGTGTTCAACAATTACTCACAGATTTAGTATATCAAGTGTGAATGGGTTGTACTTCAGACTGGTAGCTTGCTTTACCCTGATGAAATCAAATGGTAGGGAAGCCTTTTAGTCTGCTGCATCCTTCACAAGAGCCAAATGTTTATTTTGAAAGGATAAACTGTCTAGTTAATTTGGCTATAAAATTGACTTAACACCTTTTAAAAGTTTCTTATTTTAGCTCAGAAGAGAGTCTTCTTGAAATAAATCATTAAATTGATAAAATATTTGTAATAAAACAACAAAATACGCAATTAATAGAGTCAGATGCACTCGCCCCAGTTATGCATATGTGGCTTTGTTTATGGAAGTGCAAGGAAGGAATTCATTGCATCCATCAATTTTAATTAGAGCTGTATACGGGGAATTGAAATATTAAAAGTTAAAATCAGAACTAGCATGCAAGGAACAGTAAGTGGATTTTGAAGCCTAAATAATTTTACAATTTACTTTTAAAAATTAACATAATGATTGGTGCAATAAAACTACCGAGGACTTGGAGGCTCTCCTGCCATAAACCGTAAAAGATCCTTCTTGTCTTTATGCACACTATAAAAACTATGATAAGAACCAATTTGTAAGACAAATAATTTTTGCCACCTAATCAACTTGATAATTCTAATTCCTCACACCTTGCCCAGATTTTTTCCATGTATTTATCAGATAAATTAGACACAAAATGAAAAAATCTCATCAACTTTATAGGGATTCATGTTACCTTTTTGTTTTTGCTAAATGTGTAGTGAATTCCATCAGAAAACCCCTGCATTCCTTCATTTAAAGTGTTTTTATGTCAAAGGTCTTTCTAAAAAATATATATGTAATTGGCAGGAATTTCTTTAAAACCCTGTTTTGTGTTTTATAATCCTTTCTATTGTGGTGTGCTTGACAGTCTTCCTATAAAGTTTAAGATTTCTGGCTTATATGATTTAAATTTGACTGGGGAAATCTGCAGGGTCTAATTGATGTTGCAATGTTACCCAACTTAATAAAGGGAATGTCACCCATTTTGAAAGAGTAACTAGAATTTAATATTTCTATTTTTGTACAGAACCTTACAGTATTTATTGCTTTTATCCAAACGTGGATTGGCCATAGCCATTTATACCACTCACTAATGTCATCTTACTAGTGCTCAGGACAAATTGAATTGGTTATTTGGAAAGATAAGTGTGAATACATAGACATAACGTATGGGCCTAACCCTGCAATCCATATTCACATGAATAGGCCTTCCATATGTGACTAGTTCCATTCAGTTCTACAAGACTACCTGTATGAGCAAGTGGCCTACGGAGAGAGTGGATGATTATTTATGGAAAGGAGATCCCAGCTAATTTCCTTAAAATGTTCTGCAGATATTCTAGTAAGTATGTTAAAGAAAGAAAAAAAGAAAGCACAGGATGCCCTCTTTCAGCTCAACACTGGGTCTAGTGGTCTTGCAGTCTCGGAAAGTTCCCTTTCTATAAGCTTGGAAGAAGGTCAGAGGCCATCTGCCTGTGTTAATGTGAAAGATACACAAGATTTCAGCTCCTCAGTACATAGATCTGCTTTTCTTCCCAGGCGAACAGGTTAGTGAAATGAATTATATGTGCCAGTATCCAGTTCTCACATTATGACTTTAAATGTATCATTCTTAGGTGTGGATTAGGACAGGGGAGTTTTACTTTCAGCATCAGCATTCTTGTGCTCATTTGCTTTTGTCCTTCACTTCACAAATATAATTACCTTGATTTCAGGCCACCTCAATGCACAGGTAACTTAATATGCTGATAGGACTCAAATGTTGGAAACGTAAATGAATGTTGAGAACTTCATTTGTAATATAATCCAGGAGATGACATCCTTCCCATGGAAGCTCAAACTACTGACTTAACTAAAACAAGATAAACAGTTATGATTAGTGGTAAGGGCCAGAAAGTAGGTTTCAAATTTTGTCCTTCAAAATAGGAAAGTAATCCTCTCTTCAGGTGAAAAGAAGGTTGATTAGTTCTGTCTCCAGCTATATAGCACCACACAAGATTCAGTGCTTAACCTTTAAAAGTAAATCTCCTCAGTGTTCCACATTATATAGAACATGTTTGGTTTTATTTGACATTTTTAATGAACCATTGTAATGATTTTTATCATTATAGTGTTAATGGAATCAAACTTGGACCTCTGTTTAGCAAGTTAATTCAGCAGGGAACTAACTTGAAGCATGTGAGTAGTTTCACTGAAGTCTTAACAACTTTGCTGAACTGGGACACTGGTTTGTAAGAACAAAACCAGAGTGCTTATATTTTCATATGCTGGAACTTTCTATGAAAAAGCACTTAAATCATCATGGGGAAGGAGGAGTGTTCAAGAATGCAACCTTGCCAAAGGAGATTAGGAAATGGCTGAATTCATAAATACTGTATTTGGTTAACATAGCCTGTACACTAAATATAATTTAAGCATGTGATAGATAATGTCATTTTCAGGAGAAGGGCAGTTTCTGTCCATCTGCACTTATATAGAGTTCAAACCCTTCTTAGTGAAGCTAATTCAATTATTTCCATACTTTCTTCTGTTGAGGAAGTTTTCCTAAGGAGTCTTTGTAAGCTCACATCTTAAGGTGTTTCCCTTGGATATAAGCACACCAAAGGCAATTACTTTTTAAAAAATATATTATTGTTTTACTGGATGACATTTAGTTAGGGCATGTGCCTGTCATGATGGAATAATGTCTTGGGTTTTTTTAATTAATAAAAATAAATATAATTGTTGACTCACTTTTTGTGAGCGTCATGGAAGAATGAGTCTTAAGGAGCCAAATGCCGGAGGAGAGGGTAGTGGTTTGGCAGAGGGGCTTTGATACAAGAATATAAATTACACCATCTAAACACTTTTTTCTCCTCCCACACATGTTTCTGAGCCTGATTCTTTCTTTCCAGTCTTCCTCAGACCAAAGACAAACGGCAATCCGGATGTAAAGCATTTTTTTTAAAATTACAATATTACTATTTTCATAGCGATTAGAGTATTAGAGGAACAATTGGAAGAGCAAAAGTTTAAATTTCAATGTTCCTTTAAGTTTATAGCGCTACTTTAGAACCAGCAAAATAATGTCAATAATATTGCATGCAACAAAATGGTCAGTGTGAGTTTAGAAAATATTACTATTTTATCCCAGCATTACATGCTGCTATAAGTTACCTAAAGGAGAGAAAATATCCCCAATGTTTGCATAGGATGATGAGTATTTTATCCTTCTTTCACCTAGAAACTAGTCACCGTATTATTTGGGATTTTAAAAAGCTCTTTTTCTAGTTAACATATCTTCTTTCAACCTATTCCTGTTGAAAAAGCAAAATGAAATGGAATTCATGGCTCACTAGAGAATTTGCGTAGTGCCTAGGCTCTTTAAAACATTCGACCAAGCCAGAGAAAGGTTAGGGATTTTTTTGTTTTGTTTTTTGGTTAAACGTCTGTTTTTGTTTTATTGAAATAATGAGAGAGCCTGCATGTTCGATTCTAATGCTGAAAGGGGCCATATTGTTCTCTTTAACATAGCAATGGTCTTAGTGTTTTTATGTTTCTTGAGTGTGTGTTCCAAATAGTCACCTGGAACTATTCAGCTTTCCAGAAGTCCCCAGATGACTCACTGCATCCTTTAACTGTTTGAGATTCTAACAAAACCAAACCATCCTCCGAAATGATGTCAAAGCAGTTTTTAAAAGTACATCATGAGCTGAAACTGCGTCAGAGTTGGAAGGTTTCATAAAAATACCCACGCAATTGTGATGCTTGTTGTGTAAATGGTAACTAATGGTTCCTCTAAAGCCGCTTCACTTTGGAAATGAACTGAGGGATTAATGCTGCAACCATTTTTATAGTAGTATGAAGAAATGTGTGTACACGTGGATTAAGGATAACTTGTGGGGGAAGATAAGTAAAGAATTATAGGAATAAAGTTAGGTCCAGGGGATTCCTTTACTGGTGTTTAGGCTGTGATATAAGCAAAATACTTAATCTACTATCTCAAAATGTTGAAAACTGCAAGTATCATGTGAATATAGTGTATCTGGACTCCATCATGTGTTAAGAAACAATGGTCATATTGTATCCTGCTGTTACAGTTGTTACACTGCTGTCATGGTTCTATCAGCACTTTCATTTTAAACTTTAAGGTTTCTACTAGCAACAAAAATAATTATTTGGCATAGAAAAATGTATGTCTCAGAAGGGATGGGGTTGTATTATAATGTACCTCATGGCTGATTTCAATAATTGTATTTAAGACATGATCTAAAAAGTTTAATCATGCTGTGATCAGAAAATGAAAATCTTTTAATATAACATTAGTATTAATAATATTTGAATACATAGTGTAGTAATTCTGATTTAAAGACCAGCTTTTTAAAGTTAGGTGTGCATAACTGCACGCATACATTTACCTCCTGCATACACCCAATTTATTCACAGATTTCCAGTCTGCACTCAGTACAGGAATTTGTGTATACACGTGGGGAACTAGGTTTCTAAATACAGCATCGGGTATTTTTGCATATGCATGGAAATTTGAGTACAATGCAAGTACCTACATTTGTAAAACTGGCCCTCAATTACCTTAACTAATATAGTGACTGAGTGACTAAAATCTTCAATTTTATTTTAATAGAATTTATGTTAATAGTTTGAATCAGCTGTAATGTAGTTGAATATAATGGCACTCTTGTGATTTATGGTGTCATCAAAACTTTGATGGAATTATTTCCTTGTGACCCTCACTAATCTTTTTTACAGTATGAAGTACTTAAGGATGTTCTGCCATTTAGACCAAAGCCAGTCCACCGCTTGTTCAGGGAAAGCCCCTGCCGGGCCGGGTCAGGCCGGTTTGTTTACCTGCCGCGTCTGCAGGTTTGGCCAGTTGCGGCTCCCACTGGCCGTGGTTCGCCGCTCCAGGCCAATGGGGGCTGCAGGAAGGGCGGCCAGCACATCCCTCGGCCCGCGCCGCTTCTCGCAGCCCCCATTGGCCTGGAGCGGCGAACCACGGCCAGTGGGAGCCCCAACTGGCCCAAACTGCAGACGCGGCAGGGAAACAAACCGGCCTGACCCGGCCCGGCAGGGGCTTTCCCTGAACAAGCGGTGGACTGGCTTTGGTCTAAATGGCAGAACATCCTTAAGTACTTCATACTGTAAAAAAGATTAGTGAGG